TCCATTCTTTCAAACCCCTTCATAGTGTTCAATAAACTTAAAATTCAATATTTGCATGAACCAGTTTTAGTTTCAAATTCACTGACTCATTTTAAAGATTTGCAGCTAGTGGTGTTCTTTAATTGGCTGCTCCAGTTCTTTAATCCATAAACCACAAATGCTCTCAATGTCAACCTTAATATATTTCTTTTTCTTTTTTAGTTTATGATATAAAAAGGATGTGGTTTTTATTTCAGATATTGCTTCCATCAAGTGTATTAACAGCTCAGGTTTCTCAGAGAAAGCAAAAGCATCTGGTCCATACTGAGATATTAGAATATACTTAAATTGGTTATATCACCACTGTTGAGAATTAGGCAGAAAAATATCCATGTCAACTGAAGGAAAACCTGTCCTGATTACACTGTAAGTAAGGCACATACTGTATTCCAAATCCCACCCACAACTTCCATACAGGTAGTCATCTTTTATGACCTTAATTGGGACTGTCAGCTCCGTCATTAAGCAAAGCTGTTGTTAAGCAATACATCAAAGGACCGCCTTGTTTAGCAATTCTGACAATTCTGGCAGTTCCAGTTGTGGTCATTAAATATATAAAAGCGACGTAGAAAAATGACCAGTAGGTAATGCTGAGGAAAAGCCGTTGCCTACACAAATCCACCTATTTTCCTATGTAGTAATGGGAATATTAAGTAATATTGTCTAGACCAGGGATAGTCAACCTTTTTATACCTACCGCCCACTTTTGTATCCCTGTTAGTAGTAAAAATTTTCTAACCGCCCACCGGTTCCACAGTCATGGTGCTTTATAAAGTAGGGAAGTAACTTTACTTTATAAAATTTATAAGGCAGAGTTACAGCCAAACCCCCCCATCGCCCACCATGAAAGCTGGAACGGCCACTAGTGGGCGGTAGGGACCAGGTTGACTCCCACTGGGCTAGACCTTAGCTAAGCAAACTAGGATCTGATTAATACTTGGGTCCCCACCAAGAAATCTTAAGATTGTATGATAGTCTGGTAAGTTAAGAATGTATTTATGTATGTCATTAGATCCAAATGTTATTTGACTCAAACGTTACTCTGGGTAGCTAGCATGCTGGAAGAAGGCAAAGGCAAACCGACTTTTCACAAGTTTCCATGAAACGGAAGGAAGGGGATTCTTCCACTTTACTGTGATTTGGGCTAAATGCACTTTTGGTTTAGTGCCCTATGTGAGCCCAGCCACTGATGGATTATTTAGCAACTCTGTGATTAAGCAACCGTGGCCCAGAATGACGCCTGAATCCTCTTTATTTCAATGATCACTATCACTCTCCCTTTTCTGTTTTTACTCTGTGTATTCCTTATATATATATATATATATAAGGCCCAATTATGGGGGGAAGCTAACAGCTTCCATTATCTGTCAATCGGCTTGTCACAAGAGTCCATCACGACAGAAACCCAATATTTTTACTGTTGCCTTTATTATATTACTATATTATTTATCAGCACAAATAAAAAAAAAAACACAAATAAATAAATATATATATATATATATATATATATATATATATATATATATATATATATATATATATATA